TTATCGAATGTGACTATCGTCGAATACTTTCTTGGCAGCAGGGAGGAAACACGAAAACTGCGATATGGTATGGTACAAGGAAGAGAAATCGTACAGCAGGAAAACATTGTGGGAACGCATTTTTTTTCTTGTCGTTAAAATAGGAATCAATATTTGTTCGATGTTCGTTCCACGAACATTTGCTATTTTTTTTACGTCCTGTGAGCAAATCTTATCGATATCAATCGCTTTAATACAATAAGACTAACATGCTTTATCTGAAGGAAGTACAAGAAAAAAATTCCATTTTAATATGTTTACTTATTCCGATTACATTATAGATGTTTCTCAACAATTGATTCTGATTTTATAACAACTTATAAAGAATATATAAATTAATTAAAATATAATCTTTTCGTGCACACAATGCTTTAAACAAATTTGATAAATTAAATTTAATGCGTATCAATTTTGTGTTTCACTTTGTGTAAACATATTTATAGTTTTTATCTAAAAATAACATTAGAATTTAATCCATCCAAGTAAAGTGATTTTTAAATATCTTTTAATGACCACGTTATGACATGTTTCTGTCAATGTTTGCCGTATTAGTGGCAATATTTGAGATTCAAAGGGGAGTTTCCAGGCGGCGGAAAGGCCAATACCTGCTTCCACGTATCGGGATCAAAGTCGAGAAGCGTAATCGGCAACCGCGTTTAAAAATGTAGTCAAAATTGGCGTGAGTCATACGCGTTCGGCGCCGAGCGAAGTGGGGCGAGGCTCTTATCATCCGGCGATAAGCGGAAACATCAAGGAAACGCCGGTGCCGATGCACGAGCTCGTCTCCCAACACAGACGAGACACATCGACTAATGAAACTGGCGACCATCGCCACTGCGGTGGCACCGCCTATGTCTCTTTCTCTCTCCCTTTTTTTTTTTTGATCACAATTCTCCGAATACCTGACCGTACGAATTTCATCCATAGGAGACCTACACGTTTCCTTTCAGAAACTTCACGAACCGGAAATATTCATCGTTTGCCTATTATGATGAGAGAAGATCTTTAAAAAGATCTGAAACCATCCTTTCTATCGGAAACATTTATAGATCATATGTACGATGACTAATTCTGTATTTCAAGTAGCTATCCTTTAGATTTATTTATTTTCTCCCTTTATTTTGTCCCTTATTTATCCTTTATTTTATGGGAAATTCTTTTCTAATTCGAATTTTAATGCCTAATGTCGTAGTAATGAGTAAATTTTTAAAATAAAATATAGAAAAATATATATATATATAAAAACAATATATATATATATATATATATAAATATAATTTGTCTTGTATTAATTATATTTTTAATTTTTAATTAATCAAAATTATTCAGATTAAATCCGTTTTTTTTATTTTTTTATTTCGATCCTATTTCAAATTTAACTTAAGGATTAAGGTTCGACTATCCATTTCAACGGATAGTCGAACCAATTTGAAACTATCAGAAAACCGCACAGTATCTCATTTTGGTATGCTACGCAAGAAAATTTTGTAACGCGCAGATTCCTGAGTCACAAACTTGGAAACATATAGGGGACAAAATTCTAAAATTTTCAGATTTGTCCTTTATTTTCTCGAAGAAAATATGATCACCGTCGTCATGTCTGATAATCGCGTACATGTGAGAGTATCTAACGATGAAAACTCGCGGGCACCTTTTGCCCGATATTAATTAACTCTCGAACACCGGACTCGCTCGAGACCCGCGTAGGTATACGTGAGACGAACATTTTTACTTCCGACACACTGCAATTATCTCTTGCAAAACAACTTTCTTCATGATATTTTTATGCGATAGTTCGTTACCTTATCTTGCACTTTGCGTCA